CGTGGTCTCTGTGCCTGGGAGTGGCTCGGGCTGCCATGGTTGGGGTAGAAGAAGCATTGCCTCTGTCTGCTCCAATCTGTGGGTTTGTGCCCAGACTGCTTTGATCTGCTCTCTGAGGTGCGGCCAGGGCGTGAACGGACAGTGGGTCAGATGCTGTTGACGGTGAAGCTGCCATTGCCATGAGGTGTGCCCGCCGTGAGTTTAAACCACCAGGTCCGGGACTCGAACTGTGGTCGACTACATGGGAGTCCAGTGACATAGCCATTGCCAGCTTCTGGTCCTGATAATAAAAATTATTTAAGAAAAAAAGAAAGCTTGCATCTAGAGAAGGGGGCCGCAGTCGACTACATGGAAGTCCAGCAACATAGCCATTATGCCAACTGCTGGTCCCAGAAACATGTTTATTTAAAGGGGAGCCGGTCTGGGTCTGTCTTGGAGAGTGTGTCCAGGGCGAGGGAGCGGCGTTGGCTTCTGTGAACGGCCAGTCTACGGCAGCTGAGCCCTCCTCACTACAGCGCACTTCCCCTCGTGGGCTGGGGCAGCCCCTGCTAGCCCGAAGGGGAAATCCCATCTCCAAGGCTAGGAAAGAGGCTTCTCGCCCCCAGTGCATCCCTGGCCTTTCCTGGAATCCTAGCCAGCCCTGTGCTCGCCTGTGGTCCCCTGCAGCTCAGTGATTTCCCCTAGGTCAGTCCCTCCGCCTTCTGGGACGGCCAGGAAGAGCCTGTGTGCGGGGCTGGGCTTCCTGCCCGAGCAGCCTCTGCATTGCAAGGGAGTCGCGCTGAGCAGTGCAGGGACCATTGAACTAATTAATATAGTGTGGTACTATTGAACTAATTACTACAGCGCGGTAGTATTTAACTAATTAAAACGGTGCAGTACTGTTTAATTAATTCCTTGTGGTAGTACTTAATTACTACAGTGCAGTAGTATTGAACTAATAATACAGTGTGACACCGTTTAATCAGTATCTGCTGTGCCTCCATGTTTGCTGGGCAGGGGCAGGTGGTGGTGGGGACCACAGGAGAGAAAGATGCCATCCTTGGTCCCCAGGAGGTTTTAATTCAGGGGCAGACGGAAGAGAACAGCTTTAGAGGCTGTCAGAACTACGCCTGCTGCTGGAACCCAGGGAGCCAGGGAGTGGTCTGCTGAGGGTGTCGGCCTCGAGTGAATGAGTGAATGAAGGAGAGTGACCGAATGAGTAAGCGAGTGAGCCAGGGCTGAGCGGCCCCAGACGCCTGCTGGTTTTGGGTAGGCATGGCATGGTTTGGGTGGGCTGGACCACCTTAACCTTGGTACTTCCATCACTATTGGCTTAGCCCTGTTCAGCTCTCAGTCCCATTTGAAGTCCCCCTTTGGAAGTCACTGATGTGCTTATTGGGTGGTGGGTGTCTAGGAGCTCATTTTCAGAGAGCAGTGAGTAGGGAAGGGGAAGCAGGAGGATTCCTGACCCTCTTGTACCCTGCGATTTGGTGACCTGACGCCTTCCCCAGCACAAGGACAGGGTGCTGCAGGGATTTGCCAGGGAAATGGGAGGGAGAAGCTGAAACCTAGTCTGTCAGTCCCAGGAGACGCACCCTCCTGGGCTCCTCCAGGTGGGAGTTTCTAACACGTCCCCAGACCCATCCTTCTGCCTTGACCAGGAGTTCGAGATTTGGCCAGTCGGCCCCAGCTCTGGCTAAGGCTGAGCACGGGTCAGCCCCAGGTTCCCCTGGCAGCCCCGTCCCTGCTGCTTGCGCAGGGGGAGATCACGCACACAGCACCCTCAGCAGCGGCCTTGGGTGTGCCCTCGCCTCCACCCAGCTCTCTCCTGGGCTCTGGCATGACTTCAAGGGTAAAGATTTATGGATCAGGATGTATTGCCAGAGATGAGTTAGGACACCCTTCCACTCAGCAGGGCGGCTGGTCCTCTGTGTCCACCTAGGCAGAAAGCACTGAGGGCTTCGAGGCACGAAGGCTGCCGAGCACAGGGACCTGGCCTGTAGGGCCCTCGCAGCCCAGGGCTGTGGGGAGGTGTCGGCTCTGACCTGCATGATGGTACCTTGCACAGTCTGCTCTCCATACTTCATCTCGTCCCGGCCAGCCTGGTGTCCCTGCTGACTCTTCCTAGTCTCCTGGGCTGATAGGCCAATGTATCGCCTGGGGAGGGTGAGCTGACCCTGCGTGCCTGTGAGGCTCCAACACAACAGCTCTACCCAACACAGACCTGAGAGCTGCTCTCAACGGTCCAGTCACATTCCGGGCATGGGTCAAGTTTCCAGGCTGACCAGAGAATTTATTCTTGCTGGGCGTGGGGTTTGAGGAAGTGCCTGAGGCCCCCCTGGCAGGGTCATTTCCAAGCTGTAGCTCGGCTTCCAAGATCCGCCCTGCTGAGTGGCCACAGGGTCCCTGCTTGCCCTGTGTTTGCCTTGGAGTCCAAGGGATGCCTGGGTGGCTCACTCATGGGGGTGTCCACTCACCGAGGCTGGGTCATGGTTACCCCTTTCTCAGGGGCAGTGGCAAGTGACCCCCTTGGATCAGTGAGCATAGATCAAGCCACTGTTTCCTGAGCGCTCACGACCTGTCTGGATTTTGCAAGTGCTGTGACTCAGAGAGGGCAAGAACCTGCCCAGTATTGCAGAGCAGAAGCGCGGGAGCTGGCGCGGGCCTGTGGCTCCTAAGCCTATGCGTCCTGCCCAGTTCTGCTGAGGTGGGAGAGGATGAGAGGCAGGCCCTGCTGTCAGTCAGCCGTGGCTGGGAGGGCGAGGGAGGCGGGCAGAAGAGAGGAGTGCTACAGGCACAGGGCCACTGAGGCCAGGCTGGCAGTCAGGCAGGCACGGGAGGAGGTGATGGGCAGGTGGGCAGGCAGGGCAGGACCACAGGGGCCGCAAGAAGGCGCCAGTGGGGAGGCTGAAGGCAGGGGAGCTGGGTGAGCCTGGCTGGGGTATGGGGTGAAGTGGGTGGCTGGGTAGGGCTCAGGACACATGGCTGGGTCATGTCGCACCAATCCCGGAAGTGGGCCCCAGCTGCATCTTGTCTGTCACATTGAAGCTTTTCTTAAAATAAATGGGAGGGGCGAGCAGCTGGTGTAGTGATTATGTCACTGGACTCCCACGTGGCTGGCCGTGGTTCAAGGGCTGGACCTGGTGGCCTGAAACTCATGCCAGGTGTGTGAGCACGCATGCCCAAGATCTCAGGAGAATGGAACATGGGTCACGGTGTGGCCGTCCCCCAGGGGATGACTTCTCACTTTTTTTGTCTCTCTGGCGAGCACATGGCGCCCTATGGCAAAAATCTCTTTCTCTAAATAAACAAATAAATAAATGGGAACAAGAATGGACAGAAGCAGCCAGGGTTAGCCTGTACCGTGTGGCCCTGACATGGTGACTCTGGTGCTGCGGTGTGGGGAGCCTGTGTCGCCAGACAGTTTGATCTGAGTTCCAGGCTGTGGTGAATCTCCCGCATCATCAGACCGCATCCTCGGGGCTGTGGAGAGGGGACAGCTGAGGCAGGGGATGGGCCAGGTCTCAGCGGACTGGCAGGCTTTGCTGCAGGATGGCCCTTCACTCTTAGCTCCACCTCTGAGCCTGGGCAGGGAAAGGAGGGGAGAGGTACACTGCAGAAAGTGGCTCAGAGTTCCTGGGAGCCCTGGGGAAAGGGAAAGCCCTGAAGTTGTCTCTGGAGTCCCTGGAGGACGTGGTTCTGGGCGAGGCCGTGGAAGTGGCCCAGCAGAGCCTTGAACATGTATGTACTGACCATGCCCATTCTGGGGTCTTTCTGGAAGTTTCTTTGCTGAGAAGGACATGGTGCATCAGGAGGCATCTGACCGTAGAAATGGCTGTGGCTGGCGGCAGGTAGGCAAAGCCAGTGGTTAGGGGGCTCAGCCTTCTCCAGGAGCAGGCCTCCCTCGGGGGCACCCCAGGGCCTAGCCTTGGGGGATGCGAGCTCCAGCAGCACCCATGGCTGTTGGTGCCAAGGTGTGTGGCCACGTCTGTGGACTTGGCAGCCGCTAGCCAGAAAACTTTCTCAGAGCCAGCTTTAGCGTGTCCTGCTGGGGGTCCTGCCCCTGCAGCCGACAAGTCAGTGCTGATGGTTCCCAGCGTGTCAGTCCATGAGGCCGAGAGCCAACTATGTGGGCACCCTGACACCCCTTCGTGTCTCCCTTGGGGCATGGTGGGGTCTTCCCATGAGCTGAGGGGTGGAGTTCCTGAGGGGGTGCGCCGGGCTGCAGCCTGGGTTCCCTGTTCGGTCAGGCTCTCTCTCGGCTATGAGGCCCTGGGCCCCTCCGTGCACCCTGACTGGCTTCCTGCGAGTCGGAGATCACTGGGCGAGGTGGCTGCTCCTCCCCACCACAGCGCGCTGTGCCTAGCCCGCTCGGCAGCACCAAACTCACAGCTCTTCACTCCACAGAGGGAGAGGCCAGCAGTCAGCCCAGGGAGGAGCCCCTCACCAGACTTGGCTTTTACAGCTGTGGGAGGGAAACTGACGTCTCCCCAACAACAAGATTAAATGCAGGAACGCAGAGGGGACACAGAAACTGATCTAGGATGCGGGCTCTTCCTTTGGCCCTGACCTGGCTTGCTGTGTTTTGAGCCCTCCCCACTTCCAACCTGTCCTCTGGAGAGAGGTGTTGACCGTGCTCTGGACTCTCAGGCCACCGGCTAGACATGGCTTGTCCAGGATGACCAGAGCACCTGTCCTGGCAGGGCCCCCGCCTGCATCCCTGACATGTGGCCGGGGCAGGGAGTCTGTCCACATGCGCTTAGATTGCAGGTGCTAGGCTGAAGCCCTGCCAGAGTTGGGTCAGGCAGGAAGGTTATCATGGTCCGTCTGGGCCTTTTAGAAAGGAGTGGGTGCATGTCCAACATCTGCAATGGGACTGAAAGGTGTGCCGTCCTGCCCACCGTCCCGGCCTGCGGCTCTGGGTGACACCTAAGGTGGTGGTGTCTCAGTGGCGCGGCCGTGGGGGGAGGGGGCCCTGCAGGTAGGTGGTGAGTCACTGTTGGTGTTCCCTTCCTGCACAGTGGGCGCAGACATTTTCATGGAGGCTTGCTGCGCTGACGGACATCGGATGGCCACTCAGCACAAGGACTGCTCGCTGCCCTATGCCTCGGAATCCAAAGAATGCAGGTATGGTTGCCTGGGCCGCCATCTTGCCAGGGCAGTGCTCTATTAGAGAGTCAGGAGGGAGGGACAGTGTGTGCCAGGCCCCCAGGGAGAGGCTGGGACCCGGGGCTGGTGAACCCAGGCTGTGGGAGGTGTGGGGGCTGCCCCTGCCTCCCTTCCCCAGCCGCTCTATCCTTGCGTTCCCACGGTCTCAGCCTGCCGTCCTATGCCCTGTGGTTGCCAGGGCATCTGTCCCTTCCCTGGGCTGGAAAGAAGCGGGGTTTGCAGCCCACTCTGTGTAAGCTGGGAAGCTGTGGGTAGGCTAGTCTTCTCCTGAGAAAAGGAGGTCGTTGTGGGAACAGATGAGATGAGTGTCTGGAGGTGCTTTGCAAACAGAAACGTGGGCCACCGTGGGCCCCCAAAATGCAGATGAGCCTGACCCAGGGAAAAGAATCCCACCAGGCAGTTGTTTACCTAATGCAATAGCCAACAACCAGACTGTTTTCAGGCTTTTCTCCCTAAAGAGACTCAAGAACCCTCAAAGTTTGGGAATAATTTTAGCTTAAAATAAATCAATGAAAATAGGTCCAGACAACAGTGAGAGCAGCGGCGGGCTTTCATGGCGCCGCTAGTTGTGCTGTGCAGGGGGCCGTGTTAGTCGCTCAAGCTGGTTGTTAGTCCTGCCTGCCGGCAACGGCTCTGGGCTTTCCCTTGTGTGCGCAGTGTAAGCAGCGACGTCAGGGCTTGAACTCAGCCCTACTGCCTGGCCAGTACGAGGCAGGGGTGAGGGTATGAAAGTGCCCAGGGCTTGACATCCGTTCTTTGTCTCTGCCTCTAATCCAAAGCTGAGCAGAGCTGCCCCTCGAGCTGTGGGATGCCGCGGGGGACTGTCGTGGAGAACGTGCAGGGTGTTAGCCTCGTGCTGCGGTTGCGTTTGTGTTGGCATGGAGCGCAGGCCGTGCCTGCCAGCAGTGACGGAGATGTAAATCCTGCCTGCGGAAATTCCTGAAAAGCCAGCGGCAGTATAGACCAAACAAAGGCAGAGAAGACAGAGAGCCCAAATCCTTTGGATGGGGTGGAAGAGCATGTGGCCAGGATTTACGGAGCATCTGACGAGTGTGGGCCGGGATCTTGGCTCACGTGCGGCTTAGTGCTGGATGTGTCGGAGGCCGCTGGCTCCGCGCTGAGTCTTCTGTTTACAGGCTGTTCTGATGGGGGCAGCCTGGCTGGGAAGGGGGAGGGCTGGGAGGGCAGACCGACCTGGGGTGGATTTCTGGCTATGTGACCTGAGCCAGCTGAGCGCCTTAGGGTCCCCAAATGTAAAATGGGGAGCATGAGGCTAGCCCGTGGCCTGATGGTTAAGGCAGCTAGATCCCAAATGGTTGACTGCATGGGACTTGAGCCAGGTTCAAGTCCCTGACCCAGTGCTTGAAAAACATGTGTACGTGCATGCCCAAATCCTGAAAGGAGGGTGAGGTGGAGAATGGATTGTGGTGTGACCATTTCCCATCAGGGAGCTTTCTCCCTCTCTCTGGTGAGTGCATGCACTCCCTGGCAAAATTATTTTTTAAATGGGGAGCATGATCTCCTTCCTTTCCACGTTGTCATAGTGAACCTAGGTGATGTGAAATTACACCACAAGCCAAACGAGAGTGCATTCCTCAGCGGGGCTGCCCTGACAGTGCCCGGACGACGCAGCTCAGATGGCAGATGCTCATTCCCTCCCCGTCCCGGTTCTAGAGGCTGAAGTCCAAAGTCAGGGTATTAGAAAGGGCCGTTTTCTTGTGGCCTCTCTCCCTGGCTTATGTCCTCTTGTGTGCATGTTTGTGTCTTAATGTCCTCTTCTAGGGACATCGGTCAGACTGGGTCAGGGCCACCTGCTCACCCATCCCCTTAGCCATAACAGATATGACTAAGGCCCCATCTCCAACAGTCACATCTTGAGGTCCAGGGTTAGAACTTCAGTAGACGAGTCGGGCAGGGGCAGGCAGTTCAGCCCCAAACAGGGAGCCACTGTTATTAACACTTACTAAAATCAAGGCTAAGAAAATGAGGTCTCAGCCAGATGAGCCCCTCAGTGTGCAGACACAGAAACCAAAGCCACGCATCCAGCAGGTCTGTGGACCCTTGTGAATTTGGGTTCACTACTAGATTGACTACTGACTGCTCACCCATGTCTTTGATACCTTCTGGAGTTTTCTTTAATGAATGGGTCACAGAGGACCTAGGAAATAGGAAATAACTTTTTTTTTAATTGCCTGAAGGCGCATGTGCTTGCCAGAGAGAGACAGCAAGAAAGAGGGAGGAAGCTCGCCCCGAGGGGGTGGTCCTACTGCAGTCCCTGCTCCTTTATTTCTCCATCTCGTTGGAGTTGGGACATGCACATATTTTTCAAGCCAATGGGGCCAGGATTCAAACCATGGTCGGCCATGTGGGATCTGGTTCCCTTAACCACTAGGCTATGCGGGCAGCCCTAAAATACCTCCTCCATGTGGCAAGCATTTGTCCGTGTGGCAGTTTGTAAGAACGCAGTGTGTGCTGGGGGGGAAAGCCAGGCAGGGAGGAGGGTCTCCTGGTCATGGAGATCTTATGATTTCAAACAGATCTGTTGGGAATGGCCTGAACTCAAAGGAGGCAAGAGAGCCAGCCACGTGGCTTGTGGGGAAGAGTGCTCCAGGCAGGGGGAATACGCAGCCCGAGACCTGGAGAGAGGCTGTGCAGGTGGGGCGGGTGGCAGCAAGGTGGCCCGGGTAGCCAGAGCAGTGAGCGAGGACACAAGGCCAGAGGATGGTCGTGGATGAAGGGCGATTGCCCAGGCCGTGCAGGCCATCATAGGGACAGTGAGACGTGTAGCTGCTGGAGGCCACGTGTCTGTGTGTCCCAACTGCGGTTCCAAAGGGCCCTATGTGGAGGAGGGACTGAGGGAGAGGTGGGAGCTTCGGAGCACCAGGGCGGAGAGCATAGCTCGCTGGTGGCGGAGGCTGCTGTGGTCAGGCCTTAAGGTAGGCCGCCAGGTCTGCTCAGTACTTGGCTGTGTAGTGGGGTTCCAGGCGGAGGCTGCGAGGGGCAGATGACGTTTGCCTGGCCGAGCCCCAGGAGAGTGGCTGCACGTACTGGCAAGGGCAAGGTGGGTGTGGCCGTGTTGAGTTTGAAGAGCCCATGGACACCCAGCTGGTGGTCTAAGTGGCCTGAAGGGGAGAAGCTGATGAGATGGATGGAGGAGGGCAGGTGTGAGGCGGAGCTCATGGGGGTGATGAACCCCAGGTAGCTGGACACCCCTTCCCCTAGTGGTCAGCTCTCACCTTTCAGCCTCGCTGGGGCGGATGGGCCCTCACATGCCCACCAGGTGCACAAAGTCCTGGGAGTTCGAGCCAGTGAGAGTGTCGGGCAGGCTGCATGGGTGTTGTCAGACCGAGGATGGTGACTGTGCGTCTTCCTCCAGAATGTCTCCTGCAGACTGGCTGGTCCTTTGGATTTCAAACTGGGTTCCTTGAGCCTTGTCCATTCCTGGGAGGCCTTAGGTGCTCTGGTGGGGAGGTTGCGACTGGGGTCTGGCTGGCATCGCCGGGAGGCTACGTGGGGCTGGGGGCTGCTGTCCCCAGGCAGGGACCTGGCTGGTAGTGCAGGAAGCTGGGCAGCCCCTACCTCATCTGTGGGGCGCAGGCCCTCCCATACTGGCTCTGGCCGGAGCTAGGGTTACCTGGGGCCTGGGCAGGGGCAACCTGACACATACACCTTCTACCTATGCCTGTGGGGCCAGCCTGCAATGCCCTGAGCTGCTGAGCCCCATGGCCATGCCTGAGGACTGCTCTGGCAGGCTACTGTCCGACCCAAGCCTTCGGTTTCCCAGGACTTTCCCTTAGATCCCAAGAGTGGGGCGCCACAGGCACTGCAGCTGGGTACTATTGTCACCATCGCCTGTCATTCTGGGGTCTCGGGCAAAACTCTCTGAAGCTGTGAAGGGACCAGCGGTTAGGGTAATGGCTATGTTGCTGGACTCCCACATAGTCGACCACGGTTCGAGTCCCGGACCCGGTGGCTTAAACTCATGCCTGGTGCATGTGCATGCGTGCCCAAGATCCTGAGAGGAGAATGGAGGAGAAGGGAATTACTGTGTGGTCATCCCCCTGGGGAGGGGTCTCGCTTTCTGTCTTTCTGGCGAGTGCACATGCCCTATAGCAAAAACCTCTTAAAAAACAAAACTCTCTGAAGCTGTTTGCTCTGAGCCTGGCTGGTGGGATGAGCCCTGAGAAGAATTCAGCTTGATGAGAGGATGAGCATGTCCAGCCGGAGTCACAGCCCAGGGGCTTTGGTTCTTCAATGGTGGAGCATTCTGGGTGCCACTCAGAGCCCAGGGAGGCGAATCCCCTCTGGCAGTGCGGTGGACCTGGCATCGCTCTGTGCAGTGCCGGCATCCTGTGTGTCTCTGTGCCGTGACAGAGCCGTCCCCAGGGCTGCTGGGCCCGGGCCTGAGCCCTGGCCCACACCTGCTGTGTCTATAGGATGGTCCAGGAGCAGTGCTGTCACGGCCGCCTGGAGGAGCTGCACTGTGCCATCGGCATCAACCTAGCCAGCGAGCAGGACAGCTGCACCACACCCCACAGGGACAACGCCAGCCTGGAGGCCATGTTCGTGAAGGTGAGGACCTGGGGCCATAGTCTGTCTCCCTCTCCCTGACCTGTGCTGTCTGTGAGCACACCCATCCCAGCCTACCTTTCCCGCAAGCTGCAGGGGTGCCTGGCCCAAGAGACAGGAGGGCCTGCCCTAGTGTCCCCTCATCCTCCTGAAAGACACCAGGCCTAGCCCCACACTGGGGGAACAGGATGAAGGGAGTTGGCCTTGCCCTGAGGATCACCTGTCCCCAGGCCGTAGGGAGAATGTAGAGGTCAGAGCAGGGTCATCTGGGTCCTCCAGAACCTTCTTTCGACCCAGGATAGTCACTCTCTTTTCTGCCCAGGAGGCCCTCAAGCTTCTCTGCCCCCAAGGTCAGTCAGAGCCCAGAGCTCAGAGTGGGTCCCCGCTAAGGCCTGGTATGACCTCCAGGAGCACCCTCGAGGAGGAAACTGAGATGTAGAGAAACCCAGACTCCAAAGTGGCCAGGGCCCTGTGCCGTCTCCTTCTCTGACAGCCGCCGGGCCCCGGGGGTCCCTTGCTATGAGCGCCTGCATCTCCCCGTCGCCCTGTGCACAGGTGAGCCCGAGGCGTCCAGGTGTCTCTCCCTTATTCCTGCTTGGAGAGCCTGCCTGGCCAGGGAGCTCAGGTTTGGAGACGCATGGCCAGGGCGAGTTCCTGGAGGGGCTTCTGTCCCGGTGCAGAGAGGAGTGCGACAGGTGGTTTCAGGGAGCAGAACTGAAATGAAGTCAGGGTTCTGGGGGGAGGGGCACCTGGGCTGCTTTCTGGGGCCTCCCTCTCCACAGGTGCTGGTCATGGAGGGATAGGGGTCCAGTGCCCCTACCTGCCTCAGCCGTGTGGGCTTTCATGAGAGGAGGCTCTGGCCTGAGGGAACCAGGCAGGGCGAGGGCAGGGTGGCCTGGTCACGGCTACATGGGAGCCAGGCCCTGGGTGTTCAGTGGCCGCCTCCCCAGGCAGGGCTGGGCTCTGCAGACACCATCTGCCTGGCAGATAGCAGTGCCCATATCCTGAGACGTGAGGCGAGAGACGGTGTGGAGGAAGTGGGGCCTTCTAACGGGACTGGGGACAGATTGTTGTGGCCCACGGGGAACTGGTGTTTCCAGGAGAGAGTACTCACAGCCCGCAAAGTACAGGAGGTGTGGAAGGCTCCCTGCTCTTCTTTTTTTTTTTGGAGAGGTTTTTGCTATAGGGCGTGTGCACTCGCCAGACAGACAGAGAGAGACAGAGAGATAGAAAGCGAGAAATCACCCCTCAGGGGGAATGGGCACGCCGCAATCCCTTCTCCTCCATTCTCCTCTTGGGGTCTTGGGCACGCATGCACACGCACCCAGCATGAGTTTAAGCCACCAGGTCCGGGACTTGAACTGCGGGCGACTACATGGGAGTCCAGCAACATAGCCATTACGCTAACTGCTGGTCCCAGCTCCCTGCTCTTCTGGCAGCAGAGGGGAAGGGTTAGCACCTGGGAGACCTAGTAGCCTTTCAAGAACTAAACCAAAGCCCTTACCTTGGATGCTGCACTGGGCTTTCCAGAAAGTTCTGCCCCTTCTCAAGATAGCTGCTTAATAAGGACTGAGTGAGGATTTTCTTGAGTCAGGATGAATATTGTCCCCTGGACTCAGCCATGATTTTGGGAGCTGGGGCCTAGGTGATAGGCAGCAACCCTGTCCCCTACCTTACTTGGTGACCTGGTCGAGGTTCCCATGATGTCCAAAGACATCCTGTGACTCCTGCTACCTGAAGCCCTGTTCCTTGGCGGAGAGACCAGGTGCATGTTTGTTCCTCTGGGCATGGCAGGGAGACGTGAGCCCTTCAAAAGGCACGGGCCCCTGGAGCTCTTGAGTGACCCTCCCTGGGTAACCCCCTCTTCCCAGAGGTGTGGGCAGCTACACCTATGTAGCTGGATAGGGATGTCGGGGGCAGTCAGGTGTCCAGGTGCGGAGGGCCGGTGGAGCTCATGCTGGGTGCAAGGCCCTTGAAGGTTCTTTTAAAACCAGGACTTAGGGACCTCGAGGGGGTGAGGCTTGCTTCGCTATTTACTGCCGACATTCAGCCATGGTGCCAAAGTTAGGCAGCAGGCACTGCAGTCCGGGGGCGTGGGCAAGGGGGCACCAGAGAGGTGTCCCCGAGGCCCTGCCATGGGCCCTGCTGGGCCGTCTGTCGGCATCTCCACCTGGACTCTCACCTGTGTTTGCAGAAGTGCTGCCACTGCTGCCTGCTGGGGAGGGCGGCCCAGGCGCAGGGCCAGAGCTGCGAGTATAGCCTCATGGTCGGCTACCAGTGCGGGCTGGTCTTCCGGGCCTGCTGCGTGAAGGGCCAGGAGAACGCGGACTTCGCGCCTGGGGACGTCGGAGACCTCCAGGAGACCGGTAACTCCCTCCTACCCACCCTGGCAGGTGTTAGTCAGGGTTCCCCGGGTGTGCACACACACGTGCCTGGTCCCCAGGACCCATGGGGTAGGTTCTAAGAGCCCACAATGCCTAGAAGCACAGATAGTCCTGGGCCCCATGTGTGCTGCTTTTTCCTAAGGAAGCTTCAAAAAGTTCACAGAAAAATGAAATGAAAACACGAGTTAATCTTGGTTGCCCCCAATTTTTTTAAATCTCTGCGTGTTTTTATCATAATATGCATCTCCATGAACTTTTCAAAGACCCTGGCACACACCTGCCGGTGACGAAGTTGAGCTGATGAATTAAGTGCCGTAAGGCTAACAGCAGTAGCTGAGGGGACAGTAGGACAGTCGTCACAGGACGCCAGCATCACTGCTCTTGCCCTCGGGGCCATCGAAAGTGAAGGAAGGGTTCCGTGACATCAGCACCGCCACAGTGTCACAGTCGGCCCCAGAGCCGAGATAGCCCCTCGGTGACTGGTGGGCAGGAGTGTCCAGGGCATGGATGCACGGGACAGAGGATCAGGGCATCATGAGATTTCAGCGTGTCACTTAGTGTGCAGTTGAAAACTTGTGAGTTGTTTATTTCTGGAATGTTTCACTTAATACTCTCAGATCGTAATTGACCACGGGACACTGAAACCATAGAAAGTGAAACTGGGTCAGGGGGTGTTATTGGAGGGAGAAGGAGATCGAGATAGAGGGGGGCAGAGGAGGGGAGAGGAGAGACAGGTGTAGTTTACGGAACTGGCCCACAGGATTGTGGGGGCTCAGAAGTCTGTTTAGACCCTGAGGCAGACGGCCAGGCTAGAGACCCAGGGAAGAGCTGACCTTGTAGCCCAAGTCTGAAGGTCATTTGTAAGCAGGATTCCCTCTTCCTGAGGGGAGGTCAGCCTGTGTTCCCTTCAGGACTTCAACTGATTAGACAAGGCCCACCACACTGGAGGGTCATCTGCTTGACTCTGAGCCCCTCGACTTCAATTGTCAACTTGTCCAAAAGCACCGTCACAGGAACATCTAGACTAGTGTCTGACTACATCTCTTGGTACCATGGCCTGGCCAAAGTGACCCATGAAGTAGTCGTCCCAAGCTGTGTGAACATGCATGTCTTCACCTGAACTCAGTGTAGGAGGCTGCTTGTCGTCAGAGCCATGTCATGTTGGTCACCTTATGTGAGAGCCTGTGTCCTCAGGGATTGGGATCCAGATTGGATAACCCATGCCATGTCCTGCCCTAACGAATGCCTTGGGCCTCAGGGCCCTCATCTGTGAAATGGGGATAACTGCAGCCCACTTCTCAAGGTGCTGGGGGGTGGGGCAGCATGCTGATGCGGCCCCTGGCTGCCCCAGTTCCTGCCCTCCCCGCTCACCCGCGGCAGCATGAGTGGCTGGCTTCGCTCTCCTTTGTTGGGTGGGGACCTGATGCTCGGGGACAGAGAACCCCGGCAGGGGTCATGTCCTGTTTATGTTGGGCCTTGCTCTTTCGAAGAACAGACGCTCGCTCAGCAGAGGGCTGTGTGACCCTCAGAGCAGCTTCAGGAGAGGCCCCAGCTGTATCTGCCTGTTCCGCCTCTGCACCGCCCACTGCGAAGCCAGATGAGCCCACGCGTTGGGCTGTTACCCGGTTCAGGAGGCAGCTCGGCGTCTAGCGGTTTGGTCACGGGTGCAGGGTTTCTGGTGCCGCAGTGGGAATCCCCCTGGGAAGGGCAGGAGTCAGTCTGTCCAGGCTGGCTGTGCTGTCCTTGCTTGGAGCTCTCCCTGCCCTGGCTGCAGGGAGGAGCTCATGGCCCACCATCTCCACAGCAGGCCACGCACTGCTGTGGGGTCCCGGGACAGACGGACCACCTCTCACTTCTGGCTCATTTTAGAATCCAGGGTCCCTTGGATGTCACTGAGCTGATTTCAGGTGTCACAGCCCTAAAGGGGGATTGGGAGCACATTCCGGCTCCTTCCTGGCTTTTGAAATCAGAGATGATGTTTTTCACAGTACATGAACTCCAGCTCTCCATCCTGGGCTGGTTTCCTTGTCTCCGGGGAGCGCTGTGGGTGATTTATGTCTGCCGTCTCACCACCCCAGGCTTTCCTCCACTCCAGATGGCTTCTCTCCGTCTTTTCCCCGCTTCTGCTCCTGCTGCAGACTCCCCCGCACACTCCTCTGGGCCTCCCTTACCTTGTCTCCCTCTCCCAGTCACAGATATGCCGTCCTTCCTTCGCCAGCATGGACGTGGGCCTACTGTGTGCTGCCTGGGGGCTCTGCAGAAGGGCCACAGACTAGCGCTGGCCCACAATGGAATAAGTGAAGAAAATGAGAGGCAGACTAGAAATCCGTCCTCACTCCCACAACGTGGGAGTCTGGGACGCGTGTCTGGGTTGCAGCGCTTGCTCAAGCGTGGCAGCCCCCGGGCCGTGTCGCGAGG